CTGTAAGCCTTCCCACTCCACAACCAAAATTAATAAAATATGGGGAAATTTCTCTCCCCATCACCACTACCTCTTGATGCCTTCCCTTCTTTGGTCTTAGCAGACAGCAACAAGTAGGCCAAGCAGCAGCAAAAATAATCCAGGAAATGGACCCACCCCCAAGGAAAAAATCTCCAAAGAAATCAGAGGAGTGTCAAAAATTATACCAAGAAGACAAGCCTGAGACAGGCAGTAGTTGATAATAACAATTCAGTGAAATGGGGGAAAAGACAAAAGAGAAAGAATTGAAGATGGAGAGGCAGGGGGGCAGGGAGCAAGCAGTCTGTGATGGAAGGGACCAAGAACTCAGCTCACCGTAATCTGAAAGGGAATGACTCAAGCATCTTGTTAGGTATCAGACAATTTTATAGATTCAAAATTCCCACTTCTTCCCATGAGTTCTGATTAGCTGTTGATGCTGACAGCTCTCTCAGTGCTATTGGATGAAAAAATTATTAGGGAATTTGATATTCAAAGGGTGAATAGACACTGAAAGGTTACATGAAAGAGGGAGTATAAAAGCCCATGAAACTTTTGTGTACCCTTCTTTTGGAAACATGACTCAGTTGTCTTTTAGAGGCTCTCTTTTGACAATTGTCAAAAGAACATGAGTAACATGAAAGAGAACCTCTTTTGTGGTTTTGGACTTTTTCTCAAGCATGAAAGGCTCATCCCTAGGAGCTGTATTAAGCAGTTCTGTTAACACACACACATAGGCATCCTTTAGTCTCGAGAGACTATGGTATCGTGCATGGAGGACTTGGAACAGCGTCTAGTGTGGCTGAGAAGGTCAATTCGAGAGTGACAATCCCTTCCACACTAAGGACAAATACAATCTGTACCCCGTCTAGCTCCCTGATTTTGATGCTTTCGTGACTGCCTCTTTGCCTCAGCCTGCTGGGCAAAGGTCTCTTCAAATTGGGAGAGGCCGTGATGCACCGCCTGCCTCCAGGCTAAACGCTCAGATGTCAGGGTTTCCCATCTGTTGAGATCCATTTCCAAGGCCTTCAGATCCCGCTTGCAGATATCCTTGTATCGCAGCTGTGGTCTCCCTCTGGGGCGATTTCCCTGC